CCCCCCCCCCCCCCCGCCCCCGCTCCCTGGGCTTTGGCGCAGTCCCTTGGCCCTCCTGCCTGGGGCGCTTTGCACCTGCACGCGGTCCGCTCATGTGCCCGATAGCTGACATGTCCCCGGCGCGTGTGGCCCGGTCTCTCGACCGTGGCGTTGCCCGGCGCGATGGCCTGGCTAGGAACGAGTGGTGGATCCGACGATCGGCCTTCCGCAAGGCGCGCGAGATCCAGCTGGTCAACCAGAAATCCGAGCTCCTCCTGGAGATGCTACTGCCGAAGTACATCCGTCGCAAGTGCGTGCCGACATTGGGGGACCGCCCTCGCCCCGGCCGCCCGGCCCTCCGGCCCTCCCACTGACCGTGATCCGGCCCCCGCCCTTGCGCCGGCCTCCCCCGACGGCCGGATGCATGCACGCAGGATCAGCGAGACACCCAACCTGCGAAGCATCGCCGAGTCCTTTCCCCATGTGGCGGTCATCTTCCTCAGTGTCACAAGTGCGTGGGCTTCGGCGCCGCCTGGCCCTCCTGAGACACGCCCGCTCGCGGCACCCGCGCACGACGCAAGCAGCACACCGCCCCTCCGCCCCCGTGCCCCGCCATGCATGGAGTCCACCCGCGGCCGGGCCGCGGCCCGGCTGCTCCGGGACCCTTTCACCCCGACGCTCACACATCCGCCCCCGCCCCCGCCGCCCCCGTGCCAGACTTCCGGCACTCCAGCATGGAGAGCGCCAACTGGATCGAGATGCTCAACGAGCTGGCCGTCGTCTTCGACGAGGTCATGAGCATGTACGGCGCGCTGAAGATCAAGTTCGGCGGGGCCACCTGGCTGGCCATCGCCGGTGGCCCGGCCGACCTGGACCCCAAGCTGGAGTACCCGCCGCTGCCGCTGGCCCTCTACTCCAGCGGCATCGGCCGCGGCGGGACCAGCATCAATGTTCGCCGGCGCATTGCCGATCTCTTTGCCCAGTGCGACGATGACTTCGAGGATTTGGACTGGGCCCTGGCCGCGGCGGCGGCCATGGCCCGCGAGACGGCCGCCTCGAGCAAGCATCGCCAGGCCGGGCTGGCCGAGGGCCCGGCTCCGGAGGGGCTGCTGCTCGAGGCGGCCGGCACCGGCGGCCGCCAGACCCCCGGGGCTTCCAACGGCCTGACCGTCCTGTCGCCCAATGGCCTGGCCGGCCAGGCGGTCACCTTCCCCGGGGCGGCCCGGGCCAGCCAGGCCGGGGACGTGGCCCCGCGAGTGGCCCGCGACACCGACCAACTGGCGCAGGCCCTCCAACGGGCCGGGTCGGCCATCCTGGAGACCGTCAGCCTCAGCCCGACGCACTCGGCCGACCTGGAGTGGGCGCGCCAATCGGCGCACTCCTTCGGCGCCGGGGGCATGGGCCACCACGGCGCGGGCCCCGGGGCGGCCGGGGCGCTGGCCGGCCGGATGGACCGGCCGGCCGGGCCGGCCGGCGCCAGCAGCGCCGGGCGCCGGCTCCTGTCGGCCGGGCTCGGCCTCGACCTCGGCCCGCCCTCGGACTTGTCTCTGGCCACCAGCCACCCGGACAGCCTCCGGGCCGTGGTGTCCGACACCGAGCTCGATGTCCTGCTGCACCGGCGGCACATGCCGCCCGGGGGGGCTTTGGACCAGCCGGCCGCCGGCCTGGCCGCCGGGGGGGCCTACCCTCGCCAGCGCCAGTCGTCCCTCTGGCCCGGGGGCGAGCTGCAGGACGGCCTGCCCAGCCCGGAGGCACGGGCGACCGGCCCCTTGAAGCGCCGGCTGCCCCGGCGCCTCCTCCGGCGCAGCAACTCCTCCCTGCACCAGCGCCCGGCGGCCGAGAACGGGGCACTCAGCCGCTTCAGCTCGGCCTCCAGCCTCGGCCATGCGGCCGACAACATCTACCAGCAAATATACTCCCGGCAGATGCTGTCCACCACCGGCGGCCTGGTGGGGGGCTCGGCCGCGCGAGGCCGGCCCAGCGGCCAGGCCCGGGCCGCCCTGGCCCTGCGCCGGTACCAGCAGCACGCCGGCGGGCTGGACCCCGAGTCGCTGGAGGCGGCGGCCGTGGCGGCCGAGGTGGCGGCCGATGCCGCCGTCGCCGCCGCCGGCCACGGCCTCGGCCCCGACCCGGGCCCCGGCCGCAAGCGCCCCAACCCCCTGCACCAACGTAGCCGCCTGCGAAATATGATCCCCCTGAAGCCGGCGCGCCGGGGGTCGGCCGGCGCGCCGGCCGGCGACCCGCCGCCCCGCTGGCATCGGCGCCGGTCGCTCGACCGATCGGCCTCCGGCCCCATGGGCCCGGACCGGCAGTCCGATGGCGGTCCCAGCCCCGGCCGCAGTGGCAGCCGCAGCCGCAGCCGCAGTCGCCATTCGAGCCCGGACCGCGCGCGCCAGCCTGGCCGCCGGGCCTCGCCATCCCGGTACGATGGGGCGCTGGAGGGACACCTGGCCGGGCAGGCGGGCCACCGGCCGGGCCATGATGCCGAGGCCCGGCACGCCGAGAAGCCCACCTGGCTGCGGCGCCTGAAGCGCCAGCTGGTCCTGGAGCGGCGGTTCCCGGCCACCCTGGAGCCGATCGCCCTGGCGGCGCTGATGTCCTCGCCGCCGGGGCCTGGGGCCGGCGGGGCCCGCGCCACGGCGGCCAGCGGCCGCCGCGCCTCCCCGATGGCGGCCAACCCGTCGGACTGCCTGCTGGGCCTGCCCGGCGCCGGGCGCCTGTCCAAGCGGAATTCCCTGCTGGTGGAGGCCGGGCGCTTGGCCACCGGGCCGATGGCCGAGCCCGGCATGGCAGGCCGCTTCCCCGCCGCCGGGGGGGGGACCCCCCGCCGGGGCAGCGCCGCCATGGGCCCGGCCGCCGGCGACCCGGCGCACGACTACCCGGTCCCCCCCTCGGACCAGGGCCCGGGCTTCGATGCGGTTCTCCAGGCGGCCGCCGACAGCCAGCGCCAGGTCCCGGACCTGGAGGCCGACCTGGAGGCAGGGCTGGACCACCAGGCCGATGACGCCGGCGGCCCCGGGGCCGCCGGCGGCAACATCGCCCAGTTCTCGTGGGCCAACTTTTGGCACGCACAGCGCCGGGCCTCCTCCTCCACGAGCAACATCTCCGGTGACAGCCCGCCCGAGCAGGCGGAGTCCTCCTCCGGCGGCGGGTCAAACTCCGAAACCGACCTCTTCACCCGGGTCCGCACGACCCAGCAGCAGGCGGCCCAGGCGGCGGCCGTGGCCGCGCGCCCGGAGGGCAGCACATCGCCCGGCCCCGGGTCATCCGGCCTCCTCGCCGGGCCGGGCCTCTCGCGTCCGGAGTCCACACTGCTGACCGGCGAGCGGTCGGGCAACATGGCCCACGGGCGCCGGCGATCCCTCCGCCCGGGGGCCGGACCCGGCGGCGCTTCAGCCACCACCAGTGGCGCCGGATCCTCCGGTCAAGCAAGCGGCGACTCGGCCGACAGTACGGCCGAGGGGGCCCCGCCGGGCCCGGCCATCGGCGGCGGCGGCGGCGGCGGCGGCGGCATCCTAACCAGGCTCGGCCTCAGCCGCCGGCCATCGCAAAACATCAATCTCTCGGCCCTGGACGGCGCGCAGGGCAAGGGCCCGGCCCCGGGCACCGCCCCCGGGGGGGGGCCCCTGTGCAGCGCCCACCTGGAGGAGCGTGAGGATCCGGCCGACCCCCCGGCCGAGGGGCTGGATGAGGCGGAGCAACAGGCGGAAAGCGCGCACGAGCTCTTCCTGCGGGAGCTTCGGATGCCGGTCAGCCGCCTGCTGCTGATGGCCATCCACCTGCAGAATACCATCGTCAACTTCGGGTCCAAGCACCGGCGCGACTTCCAGGTGAAGGCTGGCTTGCACGGTACGCGCGCAGCTGTCCGATGCCGGGGGCGTCGCCTTCCCCCCTCCCCCCCTCTCTCTCCCTCTCTCGCTCTCTTTGTTTCGCTCCTTTCCAAGCCGCCACGCGGCCCATGATCCGTGGGCTGGGTCGCGTGCTGCCACGGGCACCGCCCTCCCCGCCGCCATCTGCTCGGCCATGTGCTCGCGCAATGTGCCTGCCACTGTGTCGACCCATGCGTGTACCTGCACCTGATCTCACACATGCACCACCCATCCACACGCCCGCATGCCGCTCTCGACCCCTCCTCCCCC